ACTTTCAGGGATGGGATAGGCCATGCTTTCCAAAGAGTGTATTAGGACTAATATGTCCAAATAATGAAATATACTAATCTCTTTGTTTTGTTTTCCAGGGTGGAGATGTGATTAAGAAGCCACCTTCCATGGACCTGGCAAGCAAGAAGTGCCAGCAGGTGCTGATGGAGCTGGAGGGAGTGCTCCAGCACTTGGAAGTAATGTTTAGTTTGACACTGGTTCCTCGGGTTCTTATTCTACTTGGAGGCAATGTCATGAGCCCCAAGGAGCTCTATGAGCTCAACTTGGAGGGTATCTGTGAGGGCAGTGCTGAGAAGAGCCTGAAAACTGCATCCTGTGTTCGCAAGCTCTTTCACTCACTCTTCATTGCGGATGTCTTCAGTGAACTTAAGGCTCTCCCTGTCATGGGCACTGTTGTTATGCTCCAAGGACACCGCGATTGTGGTGTTGATTGGTTCCGGCCCAAGCTCAACTATAAAGTGCCAACCCGAGGGAGGAAACTAACTGTTAACTTGTCCTGTGATGGAGACATCAACATAAGTGCCTCACCTCCTCAGCATATGACTTCTACTTGGGAGGACTATGTATGGTTTCAAGCACCCGTGACACTCAAAGGCTTTCATGAATGACCTGTGCTCTGTAGAACTTTAATGGAATATTGAAAAACCTTTGGTGCTGCCTTAAGTGATAATAACTTTGTCAAATGTAACTGCATATTCTTATCTATCTGGATCTCTTCTCCAGGGCATCTACTGCCTTCCTGTAGCTTGACTGTATTAATCTGTCTTCACGTCTTGAATTGTTGAAAGCAAATACCCTTTAAGGCACGCTTGCACACAGATACAGTGATTCTTTAGGGACCTGAGTTGTGGCACAGAGGAGACGAATTAGTCTGTTGGGAGTAAAACTTTCCTGCTATATACTTACTGAACGGGCAAATACTGGATACCGTGTTCTCTCTCCTGAGTTTTAATGCAGCCATTTCTCTGGTAATAATTACTACATTAGCTGATTGGGACTCCAGATAATGTATGTGGTTATTAATACACTTGGCCTTTACTATAAAGGCCATAACCATTCTTACCTACCCTATTCCTGTAAAAGGAGTCCTTTCCCTGCAGTCTGATCAGGCTTGAGTACTCAAGTGTTTGCCAATCTAGTTGATAAAATGAGACTTCTCCATATGAGACTTCCCCATAATGTAAGTGCAGTTACTTAATAATCCAAAGAGTGGGACTTCTCAGCAATTGGGAGGTCTTGTCCCTGGCATGGTCTTGTACTGGTGATGAAAAGAGGCTGAGCAGTGCTGCAGAGGCAGGGAAGCACATCTTCCTGGTTTTTTTACTAACCTTTAGTCCAACAGCCCTGACAATCCGTTAGATGTAGTTAAAATTAAAAGTAAGCAGTCTCTGCTCTAACCCTCTTCACAGGAAGTTAGGACTCCTGTCCCAGTACTCTATTTTTTTCTCACTTTTAACAAAAAAGTTAGTTTCTTGGTTACTTTGTCTTGGAAATCTTAGAGTCTTAGAGTGTAAATGTTTCTGAAATGTGAAGAGGTGCAGGGAGTGTGATGAAGTTCAGTGCTCTCTTTACCTGTCAAATTCCTGTTCTAAGTCAGAATGTATTACTTGGAAGCAGAACTTGACCCTTTCTTCTGGCCTGGTGTCTAGTGCAGAATGGGACAGGGAGGGAGGGAGAGAAACCCTTAGAGCACAGTGTGTCAGAACTAGATACCTGCTGGAGTTACCTTCAGTCAGATGGGTATGTGTCTGTAATGTCATGAGCTTAATAGCTCTATCCCATTTGAAGAGGAACTCAAGCCTACTGGTAGCAAGGCTGCTTGCAGTTTCTTGCTAGCAAAAATTGCATGATGGGGTGGTAAAAATCCTTTAAAAGGAGGGTAGGGGTTGAGGTAACCCTCTACACTTGGTGCATATTTTAACTTTGACCTGTTGGAACAGAATGAGATTATAGAACCAAGAGAAAATTAAGTTGATATTTTTGAGCTTGGAGAACACTAGGAGTGCTGTCTCTGCCTTATTAATAACTGGTTACAATGTGTAGTAACTGCTAAAGCTAGCTCTAGGGGAAAAACTGCTAGAAAGAAGAAAGCTGCCTTATGTGTAGCTGCCCACTTGAACATGTAATCGCAGGTCTCTTGAATGAAGTACAACTTGAATGTAGGAGTGTTTGTGCTCAGGAGATCAAAACCCTTTACACATCCACAAAAGCTGCTTGTAATGCATATTTAAGAATGCTAGCACTCAAGTATTTAAAGAAGCTTTTGAACAGAAGCCTTAGTTCTGAGGAGCAAGGGGCCAGTTCCTTTCTACTCTCTTCTCCAAATGAGTGCAATGTTGCTGCATTAAGCTGTTTACATATTCTGTTACACTTGAACTGTGAATGCAGCAATGATATAGTGCTGGGAATGAAAGAAGACAAGATGCTTTTTGTGTGTGTGTGTGTCTTACAAAGAGCTTTAGAACTTGATTAACAAGTTTAGTACTATAATCATTATCAAAATAAAATGCTGGCTTCTGTATGTGATTATATTGGATTTATTTAATCGCTCAAAGTAAAGGTTCTGTTGGTGACAGAACAACTTGCTTCCATTCTGTGTATGTATCTGACTGCAGGTTCACAGCTGTTCCACCTTTCTGACAAAGTGCATGATGTCTTGTGCCAGAAGCTTTGGCTCCTCAAAGGCAGCAAAATGCCCTCCACGTGGCATGTAAGAGTAAGTGATGATGTTCTTGAAGATATCCTTTGCCCAGACACGTGGTGTATGTACTAGCTCCTGAGGAAAAGCTGCAATCCCTGTGGGAACATATACTCCAACCCTAGAAGACATTAGTTAACTGCATTCTTAAAATGTCCTGGGGAAAGTCTATAAAAACCTTCTGACTCTGGTAACTGCCACAGTCAACTGGAGAAGTTTCACCCCAGCAACCCATTTTGTGGTCTGTACTCTGTTGAAGAACTTCATTTGTATTTGGATCTCCTTGAGTTTAAGAATGTTATACCCAAAGATGGGTTCAATCTTGAAATGTTTCAGATTTTTAAGCTTACCGTGTTTTGTGATGCATGGCAAGATGCCACACCTCTGTGAAAGACAGAAGTGAGCTAGCTCATGTTTATTTTAGAATTTATAGTACCAGCATAACAAATGACTCTCCAGAGGAAAGCTAAACTGGTTCAGTCTACAAAGAAAAAGACTTTCCTATTTGTTTGTATGATCAATCACTTGGAGAATTTTGCTCAGCAGCATTTTCCTGGTCAGCCTCTTTTATTGTTATCTTAAAGCCAACAGCTGTTAGAAGGTGCTTGATTTCAAGTACTGCGCTCCAAATTGCTTCCCCAAGTTTGTGCTTAAGAGTTGTAGTTCTTGGTTTATCCACCAGTAAGCCATATCCTTCCTAATTCAATTTAAACTTGTCTCTTAGAAATGCTCATGATTTTCTGTTTGTTTTTTGGGGTTTTTTTTTGTTTTTTTTTTTTTTACTGAACTGAGCCATAGATTACATTTGTTTGGTAAGTAAGTATATAGATCTGTATTTCGAACACAAACAAGACTGAATATACTTTGATAAATCTTCTGCATTGTCTTGGCCACAAGCTACCTTGTGTGAATTACAGGTTCAAAAGAAAAGTGACCCTTAACTATATTTATCAACAGAAAATAAGAACTTGGATTTTTTTTTTTTAACTAGTTAATTTTGCTGTTGTAAGTGATCTAAATGTTTATCCAGGCAAATGTGGTTCAATCTCATTTGCAAATCTGTTTTGCACCTGCTGCTTCCTTACCTGGCATCAGCAGTGAGACCAGGCTCCTTGGAGATGTTCTCCTTGTAGAATCGCATTGAAGACACAATGGAGGATGTCACCCAATAAATCATCACATTGGTCAAAAGCTCATCAAGAGAGTACTTGCTGTTGAGAAAGATGAACAAGTTTCATCGGAAGCTGTTTCTCAATATGCTATATTGGGCTCATGCCCTGAAGAGCAGTTGTTCCTCTTGTTCTCCACTTGTTTTCAAGCAGCAAAATAATTGGCACCCATGTGCCTGGAGCAAAACTGTCTGGTGCTGAAGCAGTAGTTTGCAGGCAGTCTGCTATAAGTTTAAACTACTACTTGTCATGTGTAGTCTTTCACCCTTAAAATTCAGCTTTGACTGGCCAGTTTTTTTACCTATCTCATTAGTTATCATGACTCATTCTTTTAATGACTCTTCTCATGGAAGAGCATCTGTTTTCTTACCTTTCCAAGCCTCCATCATCTTTATGCAGAAATGATTTATCTGTCCAGGTAGAGAATTTCTCCAAAATATATGCAGCAAGCCCCACAGGGGAGTCATTCAGTCCACAACCTAATTCAGGAGAAGAATGGGAGGCCTATTGCAGTTGCCTGGCAGTGCAATACTTCAGTGGATTTTAAACTGGACTTCCATGAAGTCTTCAGTCTTCTATGAGAATTCAGTAGAGAGTCTGTGTTTTACTAGCCCTGGTAATACTTTATTCTTGACAAATTCACCCCAATGGAATTCTGGCTGTAACTGACAGCACTACAAACCTGGGTAATTCCTATACAAAAGAAGCTAGGAGCTAAGAAAGTCCTGTTGGCTTCTTGGTAACATGTGGCAGAAGGAGCAAATTCAGATGTAAAGGGATTGCAGTCTGAAAAGAAATTTCAGATTAACTATTCGAAAGCACTGTCCTGTTTAGGATGGATAACCAGGACCCTAGTTAACCTTTTTATCTAATTTAAACAGTGGAGTGTTGTGTATCTGTTATCTGTTCCTGCTGTTGAGGAATGCTAACGGACATTATAAACACAGCAGGTACACAGCATATTGTATCTATGTTCTTACCTGTAAAACAGGGATAGGGATTACTTCAGTAGTGATAGAGGCTTGCCTTTTGAAAATTCCTGTACCATGCCCTAGGCTGCATACTCAGTATTGCCTGCTCTCAAGTGTATTTTAGTGTGATTTTAGCACTGAGTGACTTTGCAGAAGATAATGAACAACATGGTCTCAATTTAATAGTGGACATAGTTAATGCAAAGTAAGTTTGTGCATTGGCACAACAGTTTCCCTGCCCTGGCAGGCCTAGAGTGGTTTGCTACAGATTGAAGTAATGTAAATCATAGAATAGAATCATTTAGGTTGGAAAAGACCTTTAAGATCATTGAGTCCAACCATCATCCATGCCCACTAAACCATGTTCTGGAGTGCCTTGTCTACGCGCTTTCTGAATACCTCCAGGGATGGTGACTCAACCACTTCCCTGGGCAGCCTATTCCAATGTCTGACAACCCTCTCAGTAAAGAAATTTTTCCTAATATCTAACGTAAATCTCCTTTGCCACAACTTGAGGCCATTTCCTCTCGTCCTATCTCCAGCCACCTGACAGAAGAGACCAGCACCCACCTCACTACAACCCCCCTTCAGGCAGTTGTAGAGAGCGATAAGGTCTCCCCTCAGCCTCCTCTTCTCCAAACTAAACAGCCCCAGTTCCCTCAGCTGCTCCTCATTAGACTTGTGCTCCAGCCCCCTCACCAACTTGGTTGCCCTTCTCTGGACATGCACCAGCACTTCAAAGTCTTTCCTGTAGTGAGGGGCCCAAAACTGAACACAGTACTCGAGGTGCAGCCTCACCAGTGCTGAATACAGGGGAACAATAATCTCCCTGCTCCTTCTGGCTACACTATTTCTGATACAGGCCAGGATGCCATTGGCTGCCTTGGCCACCTGGGCAAATGCTTTGATGAGCAATGGTAAAGCAGGCTAAACTGTGCCAGCTAGCACATGACTGCCTGGAGAGAAGCATTTTTGGGTCTGGAAGCTGCCTCTGAACCACTGTATTCAACATCCATGGATTAGATACTCAGAAGCACCAGTCTTGTTTGCATCTTATTAGTCATTCAACCTGTACTGCATCTTAGGTATCACAACTTGTGGTGAGTGAAAATACTTTAGCTTTGCTTTAAACATGCCTAATGAGAACTAAACTGATAATGGAGATATTTCTTGAGACTGAGTAGGGAATACATTTTTTTGCCCCTATTCATTTTCTACGTTTCATAATTTTAGTGTGCTAGAAATCCCTGCTCTTCTTTTTCCAGGTTGAAGAGTCCTAGACTATGTACAGTGCTTGTACAGAAGCTGCTTGGTCACTTCAGTCTTCCTTTTCTGCCCTTCCTGTATTCTTCTGATTCTAAAATATATTGGTGAACAGGGGTGCAACAGATTCTGAATATCATGGATTTAATGTTTTGTCTTAGTCTCTTTTTGCTTTCTTTAAAAGTTTCTAAGATTCTCTTAAACTCTGAGCTGGCTGACATTTCAAAGCACTATCCATGAGTCATGGATTCTCTCAAACTAGAGCCCATTGTAATTTGCTTCCTCTACTTAACTTGCTTTGGACTTTGTTGACATCAATTTTTATTGGCCAGTTTAATCAACCAGTCACTTAAATGTTTTTGCAACTCTCTACAGTTATCTTTAGATTAAACCAAACCATGGATAGCTGCTGAATTTTCACTTAACCATTAACTTTTATCTGTAGAGAAATTAGGATCATGTTAAAATGTGCAGGTGCCAGCACAGATTTTTGTCATACTCTCCATCCCCTGGAACTTGCTTACTTATTCCTATGCTTGGATTCTCATGTTAACTAGTTATTTTAATCCACTAACTTAATCCTTTTCTTAAGGCAATTTAATTTCTTCAAGAACATTGGGGGAGGAGCCTCAACAAAACTTTTTTGGAAATGAAATATGTTTCATTACTGGATCCACAGCTCTTTGATTCTGCCAGAGCTGATTTTTGAAGCATGATTTTCCTGTGATATTATCACCTGTAAATCAATTCTCCTCTTTAAAATAGTTCTGCTAGTTTTCTGATCAGAGACTAGACATACTGGTCTTCATTTTTCTGGGGCTACCTTCACTGTTTGGCTCTTAAAAAAACCTGAAAAACCAAACCAAAAAAACACCACCCCCCAACTCGGTATCTTGTTTGTCTTCTTCTACTTCTTTGGTATTGCCGTCAGTTCAAGTAACAGACTAAGCATTAGTTGACATTTCAGTTTGTTTCTTCTTTTTCAGTGAATTGCCAGGATGCAGTGCTATTCATTCTATGGTCTCCACATCTGACACCAGTCTGAGACAGTTCCACTGTCTTTCCTGATGAGGGATTATTTCAATAAAGGGATAGCTCATAATCCTTGCTAGTGGGGACTGATGCAAATAATTCATTTAACTTTTCTGAGATGGCCGTATCTTTCTTCAGACTCCTTATCTTCTGTTCCCCCTAACTATGTCAGGCTTCTGGCTTTTCAGGTGTTAGGGCTGTGTCTACCTTTCTGCAAGTTTCACATTGCACTTGCTTATGATATTTTTCTTGTTTTCACCTACATTTATTTCTAGCAGCTGCAATTTCATGACCCTGTGCTTTACTTTAAGAGGCTTTTTGCAAAGGGGTTCTTTCCCCAAGAGAAGTGGCATGCCATTTAAAAGACCTTGAAAAGTGCTATTTATAGTCCTCATCTTTTTTTAAGCTGTTCCTTTTAACTTCCTTTTACACAGTTCTTGTCCCCATGTCTTGCATTCGGTAACCAAAACTCATTGCTTCTCAAATATGGTTGGCCTTTGCTCAATTGTAAGTTTTTATATACTGTAAGCAGTTAGTACACAATGTTCATAGCGCTATAGAGAAGGTTCATTACCTGCAGTGTCTGGTTTGGTGGCTTGGATGTGTAAGTATCCAGACTCTCGCAGAAGTTCATATATATTCTTCTGGATGAAAGGGTACATACGTTGAACATCTTCCCTAGTGAGGCCTACAAGCCATGGTACATAAGCCCCAAGCATCACAGAAATCATCCTTCTCAAACCTTGTCTGGTGATGAAGATGAGATTCAGATGAAGCCCTTTCACAGATCTAAAATTAAGTTAATGAACAGAAGGTTAAATCAAGTGATTTTCTCCAAATTTTCTAGAAAATAAGTCTGACTGGAGCCGTGATAGAAGCATTTCACTGAGCCAAATACATGAAGTCCTTCAGGTTCATTATGATTAAAAAAAAAATAATTATGGGAGTTAGAAATGGTACAGTTGGTGCCATCTCCACCCAGCTGTGCCACTGGTATGATGTTAGCTTTAGGTACCCAGTTTCTGGATGTGGCATATCCATGCTGGTAGCTCTGGCTGTTGATCTTGTGTTGTTCTGTGCTGTAGGGAACAGGCTGTGTTGGGTATTTTCTGAAAAGCTTGAGTAGATCACATGTGGCCACAGTGCTCTGCACTCTGTGAAGCACAGCTGTAATTGGGAACAGTGAGCTGCTCAGCCTGCAATCTAACAGCTTAAGAGCTTTCCCACTTTATGTTGTCGGACTTAAGTGTGGCTGTGGTGCCCACTTCTCATTAAATGCTAAACAATGAGCTGTGATGCCATCTTCTAAGGAAGGTATTGTGTTTCTTTTCCGATCAGTCTCAACTCTGCATTTTAGATAGGGAAGTCCTATATTTCGTGGTACTGTTCAGCTGCTGAAAGGCGGAGGTCCTTCCTTCCTTTTCTCCCTGCTGATTTTAAATTTATCTCTTTCCTGATTTAGAATGATGATCTGTCTCCTTGACGTCTCAAATCAAAATGCAGCAGAGTTTACTTCCACAGCTAGTGAAAGAGAAGCCAAACAGCACTGAAATTTAGAAAGCATGAGAACTGTGCCAATATCAATGCAAAGCATATGAATACAACTGAATGCACAGGGGTGCAGACCATGATGCCAGAAGGTAGGGTAAGAACTGGAGGCAGCTTTTTTGCACTTATTCCCTTTGCTACTCACTGTGGCAGCATCTGGGCCATGTTTGTGGTAATACGAGATCCCCAGTCTCCTCCCTGTAGGTAGTATTCCTTGAAGCCCAGTCTGTTCATCAATTTATGAAATATCCGAGCAGTTGCTATGGTGTCAAAGCCTGTAGGTAGAGAGAAACACAGGAGACCTGTTTGTCCTAGTGTTCATCCCCTGGCCAAAGATCATGGTGTGACAGAAGCATGCGAGTATGCTGCTGTGTGAAGGCACAGTGTGCTATGCTGCTCTGCCTCACTCCTTGGCAATAAAGCGAACACAAGATGAAAGAAATTGAGTGGAAAGTGGAGAAAGTGGAAAGAAGACCTGGCTTCCAGCTGCCATTACCTTCTGGATCTCCACAGCCAACCCCAGAGCCTCAGCCATGTGGGTGTTAGTGCAGAGCCAAGCATCTGCAGTCACAAACCACAGTGACCAGGGGGCCCGGGGATGGCTGAGGTGTTACTCCAAAAACCTTGCAATTCCAACAGAGCCTTTTCATTGCTTACCTTTCTGGTGTGGTGCCTCCGAGAAACCATAGCCTGGGATAGATGGGCAAATGACCTCAAACACCACGTCACCCTCATTCAGGCTGTGCCTGGCTGGCTCCGTGAGCAGAGGGATGATCTTGTAGAAGGAGCCAGGCCAGCCATGGACCATCAGCAGAGGTTGAACAGCTCGACCGTGAGGGATGTAGGAGGGCTTCACGTGGATAAAATGGATATCAATCCCTGCCACACATCCAAGACAGATAAATTAAAGCTCTGGTTCCATCACAGTTTCTGCTCTGGACTCTGAAGAAGGAGGGTAGCAAAACTGTAATTAGCATTTGCAGCAGAAGTTACACAATCAACCCATGGCAAGAAGATGCCTAGCTGAAAGGGGATGCCTGGTATTGTACCTATGTCTCATCTTTTACATACAGACAGAGGTATTGATCTCAGCCCCAGATACTGGGGTCATAGGAGACTGAGCATCCATCTTCTGAAAAACTGGTGTCACAGTATATAAGTAGAGCTGCACTTAAATGAATAGCATAATGCAGGTAAGATGCATGCAAAAACATGACAAAATTACAACATACGTGGGTGATAAAAAAAGAAACAGGAAAAAATAAGTGCAAGATAGAAGTTTAACCTGCAGATCACTTACCTAAAGTCTGGCTAACTTCACCTGGCTAAACTGCGTGGTGGTGGTGGATATTCTAGCCTCAGATTCTGGGTAAATTTTGCAATTTTCAAAGGTGGCTTCAAGCCACCTTCAATAGCAGAAGAAAACCTCATCATTAGTTAGCACAGGTTCAGAACCAGATGAAGCCCATCTAAAGCAGACCTAATCTTATTGCCACTGTGTAATGGTCTTAATCTATAGAAGATTATTAATAATATAGTCTCTATTAGTGATATTTCACTCATATCCCTAAGCTGTTATGCATACTGTTGTCTTAAATATTGTAACCTCTTAAATCGCCTCCTTCTCTCTGTGTGTTTCAAAGTGAGACCTGCTCAAGCCACGGAGACCCCCTCACCTTCAATGGTGGTTTGGAAATGGGCATATTTGTTCAGGACTTCCACTTGCTTGCGCCAGTCGAACTGGTTCCTCCAGTAGGCCACCACCTTCTGCAGGTAGCTGGAGTTGAAACCGTAGTGGAAGGCGGCTCCTTCCAGGTGCGGTGCATAGCGGGCCTGCTCCAGGCGCCGGTGCAGGTCCTGTGGAGGGGAGCCTTTCCTGTGATGCTGGCCAGCCACCTGCGCATGCCCTGCACCAGGGTGGGCACGGACGGGCTTTCCTGGCTCCACTGGCTTTTGTATCACTCTGGAACACCATGAGCCCTTCTGAAGCAGTGCCATACTCTGTATGAGCTCCTGAATCATTTATTTGGGGAATATATTTTTCTACAGGTTGCCAGTTACCCTAGGGCACCCAGGAGTACCAGGTCCTACTCTTGCCTTGCTGCTAACTCGCTTTAGGGTTTTTGGCACTAGGAGCTTGCCAGCACTGCTGGCTGGGAGAAGGACAAGAAGCTCAGCCTGAGCTGCTGACTGCTAGTTGGCCAGATAATTAGGGACAGGCATGTCCTTCCCTCTGTGGAAGCCCCTCAGTCCTGCCCCACCAGTGCCACTGCTGTCCCAATGCCCTCCCACCCCACTCCACCATTCACAGCCCCACTGTCAAAGTCTGCTGCTCAAAGTGTGGCTTTTCTGCAGGAGCAGCCCCAGGTTGCATGGAGGGTCTGTGGTCTCAGAAAGTCTTTATGGGACATTGCAATGAATCTGAGCTCAATTCCCATTCATAAAGGGTGGTAAGCCAGAGCATCATCCAACAGGGCTACATGGCTGCACTGGCACATATAAGTGCACTGCTGTCACCCCCAAGACATCACCTCGAAGCAGTAAGGTAGGTGATGGACTGCTTCCACCTTGCAGCTTTCTGCCCCTCCTTACATCCCAGCCACTGGTACCTCGATTTCTTTGTCAGATGTTTCAATCTTGAAGGGACGGATACTTTCATCTTCTTTCCCTTTTAGGGGTCTTTCACCTGAGCCCCACCATCCATCGCCTATTTCAATAGTCTTGATCTTTTGTCTAGATCTCATCCAGTAAACCAGCATCCCTCCAAACCCCAGGGCAGCCACAGGGACCAGGACTGCATTCTTCTGAGAATATTCAAAAGACCTAGGGAGGCATAAAATTGTGTTCAGCAACAGAAGTGTCAAGGGTAAAGGGACTATGTTGAGGCTTGTATTCACATCGGTTGGGCCTGAGCAGTAACAAATGCCTACAAATCCCGCAGAGTCAGCAGGGGCTGGGGTTTCTGTTATTGAAGATCACAGGCAAGATTTGGGGCAGGGTTATATCTGCCAGTGCTTCTTAGGGACCTCAAGTCCTTGCTGATCACAAGGCTTCCTTGTCCCTCTCCTTGTGAACGAGGGTGCCCTGGGGGACAAGGGTTAACAGGATATGGGCCAATCTATTTTAAGGCAGGTACTGAAGTGAATAGGATAGTAGCAGCTGGACTTTTCCAGGAATAAAAACTGCACAGACAGAATGGACTGATGAGCAGGAGCAGAGACAAGGGTCTTCAGCTGCCGAAGAGAGCTGGATGTGCAGGATGTATCCCTCTTGGCAGTGCTTTATACATAGCTCCTCTACAGATTCAATCATCTTTTAGGGCAACACTGGCCCTCCACCATAGCTTTCCATGGGTAAGGGTCTCAGCTTGTCTGTCTGGTGCCCCTGTTTGTGTACCAGACAGCAAGGTTTCGGACTTTCTTGAGGTGTGAGAGCTAAGTCACTAGAGTTTGTTTTAACAGACATGCAGCATGTTTCAAAACCATTCAAATGCTTGAGCAATCAGTCCTAAATGTAGTGTACATTCCTGTCCCTCTGACCTGTGCCTCAAGCTCTCCAGCTTTCCTTGTGGATTAGTAGAGGTGTCTGGGGCTATTGCAGGGGGCTGCAAGGGGACTGTGAATGAAGGTTTTGTTGTCATACAGGGTAGGGAAGGGACTATGTTGTGCCCCAACCAGGGTGCTAATAAAAAGTGGAGGCCTCAGCACAGAGCAGCTATTTTACTCACCTGATACGGGACAAGATGCACTCCCTACAAAAGGGGGAAAAAAAAATATCATTCTTATAGTCTGATAGCGTTGTCTGAACGGTACCAAACCCTTGGGGATGGTGCAACATCACCTGCCAACACTATTTACTTCCCAGCCATGGGATCACAAGATGTTTGGCTGCCCAGCAACATCTGCCATTATTTTTCCTACTTTTTGGATGGGACAGAAAGAGAGGAGTTCAGAGCACTGCTTCTGCACAGAGAGACAGTGTTTCTGGGCTGGGTTTTAGCTGGAAAGTTTGTTGCCATAATATTCCCTCCTTCAGCACAATTAAGATAAAAGGCACTAAACAACTGGGTAAGTGTCCTTGCAGTGTTTCATCCTATGAGTGGCTGTGTTACTTCAGCCAAGAAAATAGTTTACTTTGACTGCTGTGTAGCAATAGGTGCACAGCCTTGGCAGGGGACTTTCAGGCTCAAAGGTTATTCTGCTCCTAGCCACGTGGTACTCACTGTGCTGCAGGGCTGGCACAAAGAGAGGCTTGTGGAACATTTCTCTGTTCAGAGTTCAATGAGCTGCTATACCTTTGCTACTTCTAACTCCTCCTGACTGGATACCAAGCTTTTAGGTCTCATCTGCCTGACAGAAAAAGAAGACATGCTCCTTGGTTGTCTTTCAGCCTGGTAGATTCTCTTGCAAGAAAAGTACAATCTAAAAGCTAGCAAAGTGAGAAGCGACAAGAGAAAGTCTTTTTAACATAAAATCATAGAATCGTTTAGGTTGGAAAAAACCTTTAAGATCATCGAGTCCAACCGTCAGCCATGCCCACTAAACCATGTCCTGAAGTGTCTTGTCTACACGCTTTTTGAATAACTCCAGGGATGGTGACTCAACCACTTCCCTGGGCAGTCTGTTCCAATACCTGACAACCCTTTCATTAAAGAATTTTTTCCTAATATCCAATCTAACCCCCCCCCGCAACTTGAGGCCATTTCCTCTCATCCTATCACCAGCCACCTGACAGAAGAGACCGGCACCCACCTCACTACAACCTCCTTTCAGGTAGTTGTAGCAAGTGATAAGGTCTCCCCTCAGGCTCCTCTCCCTCAGCACTCTGCCTTGTGGAAGGCAGCTAGATTAGGGAGCTGTCTGAAGTCATAATTACGACATCTGGAGACAAAAAAAAAAAAAAAGCACATGACACTCCATGAAAAACCAAGTCCACTAGGTGTTTCTTTTTACCTAGTATTGTTTCCCACCACTGCCTGTGATGCAGAACCCAATGCCTGTACTGGAGACTCCAGCAGTCGCCAAGGCAGTTTGATAACAATCTCTAACACAGCCTATGTGTGATTTTTAAGGAGGTATCTCCTTAAACCGCTCCCAGAGAAGGAAGAAGAGGGCTCCTAAGAGCCAACAGTGGCAGCCTGCACCTCCTTGGAGGCTGACCAGCTTATGCAACAGGTAATAATATCCCTCTGCACTTTACATCCCGGAGTTTAGTGAGTCAGAGGCATGAAACCAGTTATCATGGCAATAGCACAAACTCGGCACTGATAACAAAGAAAGCATGTCCCAGAAGCAGCTCTCTGAGTGACACAAAACAAGGCTCAGTCTAATAAAACCTCCTCCCCACTGATGCTCAGGAGAACTCAGCTGCATGCTCCCACCCTCCAATGGCCTGATGACCCCACAGGGGCTTTCTGCCACCCCAACCCCAGGGCCCCCTGTTTGGAGTCCCTCCTCTGCACACCGAGCTCTCACCAGGCATTTGGAAGGATCTCCTGCCACATGTCTGCTCCTCCTCGCCTGGCCACTGCTCTGAGTGAAGCAACTCAGGTGTCTCCTCTGCTGGCTTTGTCTTCTGCAGTGACACTCTCTCAGTCATCATCCATTAGTGCCACCTATCGCCTAAGTGTGCAATTGCAAATTAAGTTCAACAGAGGCAAATGTAAAGTCCTGCACGGGGAGGGAATAGCCCTGTGCACCAGCACAGGCTGGATGCCAAATGCATGGAAAGCAACTCTGCGGAGACTGGCCTGAGGTCCTCAGCTGAGCCTGTGTCAACAAGCTGTCCTTGCAGCAAAGGCCAGCTGCGTACAGGGCTATATAGCAAGCATGTTAGCCAGCAGGCTGAGTGAAGTCATCCTTCACTCTCTTCAGCCCACATCTGGAGTGCCGTGTCCAGTTCTGGCCTTGCTGGTAGAGGAAAGACTGGAGTGAGCCCACCCTTGCTGGTGTAGGGCCACCAGGCTGCCGGGGGGCTGTAGCATGTGGCATATGGGGGGGGGGGGGGGGGGGGGGAGAAAGAAGACCTGGGCTTGTTCAGCCTGGAGAAGAGAAGGCAAAGGGTGGGGGTCTTATTGCTGTCTACAGCTATCTAGTGGAGAGTGTAGGAAAAATGGACCCAGACTCATCTTGGAGGAGCAACAGTTGAAGGACAAAAGGCAACGGACACAAATTGCAACAAGGGAAATTCTGGTTAGGTATAAGGAGAAATTATTTCATCATAGAGGTATTCAGACACTGGGACAGGGGCCCAGAGAGGATGTGGGATCTCCATCCTTGGAGGCATTCAAAATTTGACAGGAACACTGCACTGAGCAACCTGACCTACCTGAACCTGCTCTGAGCAGGAGTTGGCATGAGCTGACCTCCAGGTGTCCTGTCCAACCTGTGTATCACATGGCTCTGTTCCATGTGCACCTGTGATTTGCAGCAGCCAAAACAAAACGGAAAAGTTACGTTTTTCATTGTCCACAGAAATCAGTGTTTTGTTTTAGTTCAGGGAACTAGATCTCATTTTCCTCATGGTCGGTAAAATCTTACTGGATAAAGGCTTCTCCTTCCAAAATTTTTGCAGTGTCCTTGCTGTGCTTCACCCCAGGATTAGCTACATTTTCCTGTCAGAGGAAATGATTCCTATCTCCATGCAACGCTCAAAGTGAAGTACCATCACCAGTGAGCTCTGTGATGATTAGGTCTCACACTCTTGTCAGTTCCTCCAGGCTCCCACAACCCTGCTTGCCTCATGGTATCACTCCATCTTTCAACTTCACCTTCTTCCTTTGCTTTTAAGGAAGATCCTTAAGGCTGATGAGGCTTTCCTTTGCTTCACTGGATTTTTGCTCCTACAGGCCAAAGATACTGAATGCTGTATCTCCCTGCATGACTTCTGAAGAAGAATGGTCCCCATGATCCAACAGGTCCAAGCTGGGACTGTCCATGCACATGCAATTCTTCTCAATTGGATGAAAAAAAGGTCTGCCCAGATGTGGGATTGCCTGGGAAAAATCGGAGAGCTTATCACATGTGGCTGTGTCCTGGGGGTTAAGGAATAGCTCCAAGCACATCATCCTACCTGCAATGGACGAGCAAAGTTTTCACCTTCCCAGTGAGGTCTCAGGACATTCAGCTGGCTGGTGGGAGATTTGTTTTGCACCAAAGCCTACTCCAGCCCTGAATGGCAGGCTCTGTGCTCAGCCTCAGTTATCACATCCCTGGAGGAAACACTGAGCTCCTAAGCACTTCCAAGCTGTTAATTCCTGAATCTTATTAACAAGAGCCAGCTCAAACATCTGAGAGCAGATTGCAGGAACACCTTGCTCCTGCCTCCACCAGCAGCCAGCCCACAAGGCCTCTGTGCTGCTTCACAATATCTTATGTAAAACTCAGATTGCAGGAGTGATGAACAACTTGGGAGGGCCAGGGACAATCTCTCCCATCCCCTCCTCCCCCGTCACAAATGCTCCTTTCTTGCCTAGAAAGCCTATTATCATTTCTGCAAGTACCTTCCCCCCAACACCTCTTAGTCCTCTGCTCTGCACTGTACATTGAATAAAAGTTAGTGTTTTCCCAGCTGGAAATGGCCCCTTCTCTGCCTCCCTTATTCTCAGAAGACCTCACTGCTACCTCCAGCAAGGACTGGCCCCTCCTGTTGCTAATTAGGGAGCTAAGAGGTTTCCCCAGGCACTTCCCAGTGAAACCAAGCCCACTAAATGAATGGCAGGCAACATCTCTGGGGGTAGGGAGCAAAGTTACACAACAGCTGCTTGGAAACAGGCAGTTTGTTACGTGTGCCGGTTTTAGAGACTCAGCAACATTAAAAACAAAAGCAACTTTCAAGTCCCAAACAGTATATTTAGGTCATTGATACCCTGGGGATAATCTCAGGGATATTGGTGATGGGAGGCAGGCAGCAGGTGCTGGGGGCTTGTGCTCAGAGCCTGGATGTGCAAAACGTGATGGTCCCTGCATGAGCACCTGGCCATGCACTAAAAGCCAGGTGTACGGGTCCTTCGTGTGCTCTGTGATATGGGTTCTGCTATGCTGGGCACTAGGAGTGTTAATCCTGGAGTGTAATGTAAGACAGAGCCCTCTTGGGCTTGGACATATTGCTGGCATTTTGGTAAGTGAGTGTGGTGGAGGCTTGTGGGCTTGGCTCAGCTAACCCACGTGCCCAGCAGCCTAGACATGAAGAATTTTTTATACAGAAGGAAGCTGCATACAAACAGTACAAATACAACTTTAAACCCTGGTCAGTTATGCCATTTCTGTTGTCTTACAGTTTTAGGAGTGTGTTGTGGATCTCCTGGAACTGTTGCTCCAAGCCATGTAAAATTATCATCTTGAAAAGAAAGAAAAAATAATTTTAAAAAAAGGATGCAACTGACCAAAGGCACTGGAGGGAGGGACTAGTCTTAAGGTCTGTAGGACAATATAGATATAAATATCTTATGGAAAAGAATATCCTGGGTGATTTGTCATTACTGTAGTGACAGAACCACTGAGGGCAGAAACAAAGGCCTTATCTTCAGCAAAGGGTTGCAGATAAGTCAGGATGCATAGGGGGTCTATACTCAATAATTTATTTAGTATAACAACAACAACAACAAAATCTAAAAAAGCAATTACCATATTTGGGTGAGGCAAAAAGAAATGGCCAGAGAATTATCTCCATTCTTCTCAATAACAATGACCGCTGCTGAGGATCCTATAATAGTAACTATTATCGCAAGCCAGATCCCAAGTTCCTTTTCTCCATCCTTATCTTGGCAAACTCCTGGTCTTGCTTTCAGTGGGCATCAGTGCTCAGTGGCTGCGAGGAGTAGCTGTGTTGCAGGAGAGGGGCAGGTTATCTCTGTCCTGTTGCTCTGCCATAGCTCTGCATAGCCAACTTCCTGAAACTAGCCCTTACAAAGAAGAGCTTCAGAGGGAAAAGGAGAAGTCCAAATCTAAGCATGGGTTTTCCAGAGACATCAGCTGAGCATTAGGCACCCACAGAGTTCCCACAATTGGCACAGGAGGCAGCTGAAGGGCTGCTGGAGTGTATAAGCTCCCCTTTGCAGGCCTGAAGAAACATGCAAGAGGAGAGGTGTTTTTTGAGAAGTTGGTCTCATGATGTGTTCAGTTCATTGGAAAGTTTTCTGCTCTGATCCTGTGTGTTATTTCCTCCCTTTTTGGGAACTGTGCTAGCTATTTGGAAACATTTCTGTGGCCTTCTTTCTAAATAATTTTGTATTCTCGCTATGTTTTTTCGTACTGTCCATTATTAGTTGTTATGCCTACATTGTATAACAACAACAACAACAGTAATATGAAACTCTTCAGGTCCAGAGGCATTAAGAAAATGAAGACTGAATCAGCTGAACTTCTAACATAAGGATATGATTTTCATTTTTCATTAAAAACAGCTAGTCTGGAAAACCAGGGATGTTTGAGTATAATGTAATAACGGCACTGCAGACATCTCATCTAAAGAAAATAGCACTATGGACCTTGAGCCTTATACAAGGACCCACAAATACAGCTGGGAAAATAATTACGTACTGCATTTTAAGATATAGGTCTGAGTATGGTAAACAAGACTCTATCAACAAGTCTGTAAGTATAATTGTTTTCCCTTCTCCGGCTTTTCAGCATTCTTGGAAAGACTTATCTAAGCAAAACCCCAGAATATGTAACTGACCAGTCCTTCCCAAAGGTACAAGGATAAAGCCCTTTGCAAGTGGCTATTAAGAAAACTTGACAACAACAGCTTGCAGGATGAATCCTTGCCAAAGATTAATAAGCAGTTCCACAAGCAGTGGAACTAATGAAGCCTCATTTTCAACACATCTTTGCAAAATACAGCTACTATTTACAAATACAAAGAATTTGTATTTTGCAAGTACAAACACAAAAACTTTTAAACTGAATTGTTCTAAGACTGTTTTCTCTAGTTATGTTTATAAAATTCCCCCTGTACTTCCCAAAGCAATCAGTTTTCATGAAACATGTAGAAACACCTTTCAGAACTATTTTTGTAATCTCTGCTTGCCGAATTTGTTGAAATCAGCAAACAGATCAAAAAGTTACTGGGAGGACACACGTATAGACACACCAAGTGATTGTACAAGCATTGGTTCTGCAGGAAGCAAGGAACTAAGGTGAAGTTGTAAAAGAAAATATAGGAGAAAGCACTCATTTCTTAGCAGTGTTGCATTGACAGGAGTTGCAAGGCATCCCCCATGATGAGTGCTGAGACATACAGTAGCCAAGAATGATCCAATTCCAGCTCCTTTGGTTTCAATGGCAAAATCTTCAGTGCCATTAGTGAGACCACAGCTTACTTTTGCACCACATCCAGAGGATGAAGTGCTCAGTGAGGTGGCCAAGTCCATGTAAGATACAAAACAATTGGGAAAAACTTCAAAAGGCCCTAGTAAAGGCTGAGCCTTTTAAACCCGATGCATGTTTTGGCATTTGCAGTTGGTGGGAGAAGGAATGAACCAAAAGTTAGGTAAGTGGGACAAAGTGATGGCAGGTGGAACACTCTGTATGCCAGTATAAGTTAAGGGAAGCTGGAAAAAAATATTTCACTTACCTAA